ATGTGACACTTTTATTTTTGTAAGATAGCAAGGGGGGGCATATTGTGATGGCCAGGCCTGTCATAAAATCCCCCCCCCCCCAACCAAAAGAGGTTTCTATGAATCCCACCCTCAAGCATTTTTCAGGGCATGGTTCTAGGACTGGTACCAATAAATGGAGCAAGTTTCATGAATGTGACACCTTTATTTTGTAAGATAGCAAGGGGGGGGCATATTGTGATGGCCAGGCCTGTCATATAATGCCCCCCCCCACCAAAATAGGTTTCTATGAATCCCACCCTCAAGAATTTTTCAGGGTATGGTTCTAGGACTGGTACCAATAAATGGAGCAAGTTTCATGAATGTCACACTTTTATTTTGTACGCATAGCATATATGCTGACAAAGACTATGTAACATTTGTAAACATATTTAGATTATTAGATGACAACTATGTAAAATTAAACAATACATTTTAAAGCACGTTTATACAGACAGGACGTAACAATAATGATAAAAAAAACATTTAAAAAAACAAACTGAAAAAGAAGTGACGAACGAATTTCGACACCTCAAATACGGAGCGAAAAGTTAAACCAGAAGAATCAAGACTATGAGCTACCACTAAACAACTCACAGTCTGAAAATTACCATTAATAAAACCCCTGAACGTTTACTTTTCGTTTTAAACATCGTTTTAAGGTGTAAACCTATGGTGTTAACTTGTCATTTAGAGGAGTAAACGTGTCATTTAGAAATGCGCGTTCCCGTGACAAGGGGGGCATTTCATGACGGGGAGGCATAATGTGACACAACACCGGGACTCTCGACAGGCCCACTTCGGTACCGCGAGTAAATTGTCAACGGGGGGAGTGGGGGATGTCAGGGGCGGCGGGTGCTGTAGATAGTAAATGTAAATATGTAAATATTTGTGTCACTGCATCCTGGTAAAATACAAATATAATGCAATGTCTGTGTCTTTGACATTAGCGCTGCTAGCCACCTGTGCCCTGTACTACGAAGCCAGTTCAACAGACCCTGGATATGTTTGAGTAACAAACAAACTAACAACAACAAACTAACAAACGAGATCTCGCTAAGCGGTACGACGCTGGTTATCAACTCGGTAAATCAAGCCAGTTGAGAGCGCGTTCACGTCTGGAGTGGATCTGACTTTAATTACATTTGACTCGAGTGTTTCGTCAACATAATGTGTTGCTTAAAATAATACTTCTGCATACAGTATGTGACACTGTAAGTGTTGCACGGCCAGATACGGCTGGAGAAGCTGACTCAGATAAGGAAATATATGATATATTATGATATTATATGATCGATGATCTGATTGATGATGTAATATGAATGATAAGTGCGACACGTCGGCGTCTTCTCTGCATACGGCAGTTTAAACTGTATTTCCTTTATCCTGTAATATGACTTGAGAGATTTAAACTCCGCACACTGAGTTGATCTCTCTTCTATAGACGCCGGAGGCGTAAAAAAGTTATTTAGCCTTCCCAAACCTGAGCCTCACGCGCCGCCTATGGGGATGTGCTAGTGATTTATCCGACCGGCCCACTTCGGTACCGGCCCATCGGGACGAATCCCGATGGCCAGTCCGCCACTGCACCCAGCCCACGTAAACTGTCAACGGGGGGAGCCTCGCTGCGGGGAAACGGTGGACCTAGTGTCCCGATCGGAGTGGGAATAATAATAATAATAATCCGTGCATTTTATCCATTAATTTCCCCAACATTGTGGTGAAAAAACCACACGTTTAATCCATGTTGGTGTACTACAACTACAAAAAGCATCGGTTTGTTTTCTCATCAGGAAATGCAGACCGGCACAAACAAACGATTTTTAATCATCATTCTCACGATCATTTAATGTAGGCTATCATATGTTCGCCGAATTGACATGAAAGCACTAATAAATGTAGTTTCATCCACTTGAGTTTACAACTACAAAAATAATCTATTTGTTTTTATATCACATCCTACGGGAGGAAATTCAGCAGCTCTCACTACCGATTTTTAATCCTAATGTAATCATCATCTTCACCACGATTATTTATGTTTATGTTCACCGAATTGACATGAAAGCACTGACAAACGTGAATATACTGTAGTCAACTTCATTAAAACGTTATTAACGTGCCTAAACTCAGTAATTCACCATTTCTACGCATGACAACACACTTTGTCCGTGTTTGGCTCTCTCGCTGCACAGTGAAGCGTTCCCGCGTTCCCGTCACTTCCGGCTTCCCCCAAAACTTCAAAATGAGTCGAAGGAATTTCCCCGCGATGTTCGAAATTATTGATATTTAACGGAACGGTATCGCTTTTTATTTTTTAAACTGACGGTTCGAGATGACTAGTAGCCCAATATTTCATTGCACAACAGTTGTTGGGATGCTGTCACAGGCTCTTTAAGAGGGCAGTAGAAGTTAGTTAAAACCATATTTATTTTCTTAAAATTATTAGCCTCTTATTTATGTCATAAGCTTGAAAATGTTATGTATAATTATGTTACTTACAGCTCTATAGTCTAATTACTGTTTGCTATTACAATAGACTGTTTCACTTCACTCCTACATACTTTATTTCTCCCTTTACTGCACTATTGGATTACGAATCTGCATATTAAACAATTTGCTAGAAATTATATCCATTTTAGATTCCATTGTGTATTAAAATGTCAATTATTTTCATATTTGGTAGTTATTTTTTCTGCTAGATGCCCTTGATGGACTCCTAAATTGCCCTTGTGGTGTGATGCGGGAGACAATAAAAGGTTTATCTTAAAGTAAACCAACATTCCTCTGTGGTGTTCATGGTATAATCAAGGTGAATTATCAAATGCTTCATTGAAAAACAAAACAAAGCAAAACACACAAAAACTGACAAAGTGTTCCAACTTCCTGTTGCCCTTTATTCAAACAACAGACATGCATTTGCAGAATGCCAGATACCCTCTTTTTTCTCTGATCTCGTTTAAGAAGGTCCACATGTCTTTCATATGTTCAAACCTAAACTTGAATGTATAAAAAATGTATAGTAGCCTACTAAAACTTCAATTAAAACAATACTTCATACGGCCAGTCTTTGCACGCTGTTTAAGTGTGAAAACAGCTTATTTCACTATACATTACATTCTACAACGGCCAGAAACGATAGAAACACTTTTAATCTGCATTATCTCTTCTTTTAAAAGACACAGTGTCATTGCCAACAACAACAAATGCAGATCTACTCTTGCTAACCTCTTTACACAAACGTTTAATAAAGCCGAACTGACAAACACTTAGCTAACAACGTAAAAAGACTATATAAATATATATTTTTCACATTACACAATTGCCTCTGCATTCGATTATTATTGGTTTTAGTAATAACGTAATTAATAACTAGCTGTGAAAGCAGAAAGCTATGAAAAAGAATTGCAAGCAGACATTCAAGTGTACAACTATTGCACAATTTATTAAAGAAATTAGTTCAGTAACAAAAACACATGCTTGTACATCGGCACACACGCACGCACGCACGCACGCACGCACACACACACACACACACACACACACGGTTACTTAAGGTTTCTCACGCAATGCCACTGCCTCGTAGCAAATAAGACATACCGGCTTGTCTCCATTTATCACAAACTTGTGCTCAGTTTCCCATGTCTCGGTAAATTAGTGCATTAAATTGCCTTCCATCAACTTTTTTTTGTATTACCGCTGATGATATTGAGACGCATCAGAGAATAGCGGCATAGGTGGCCTATGATAAGCAAATGATATGCTCTGCAAGTTTATCGATAAATGTTGTTTTGTCTGCGAAACAATACATTTAGACTGCATTCATTGTTTTGGATAGTGCAAATAGGTCACGCACCTTACCTTACTGATTTGCAAAAACCATCAGACGAGTCGTTCGGTGGGCGGGGAAAAAAACGTGTTCGTCAGAATCGTCACTTCCTGTACTGACAGTGGAGGTGTTCTGACAGTGGAGGTCTGCAGGCAGACCCCTCTCCAATTGTCTGCTTCTGGCTATCGTGTCTGGTCCGGTTTGGCATTGCCTACGGCAGTATCATCACCTGCCCTACCGATCCTGTGCTGCTGGACGCTACTTCAATTGTTCGCTTTTGGCTACTGTGGTTGGGCCGGTTTAGCGTGGCCTGTATACTCTGCACTATAGGTCCGCTCCCCTAGTGGGATTTTTTAGTGACTGGACTGCTGGGCTAACCCCTTCTGTTTAGTTATTATTTCCTTCACCAATTTAAACTATTTTGTTTACTTTGTTCTTTTTCCTTAATAGTTTATTCCTATTTTCTTTCTTTACTTTTGGCTTATTTTATATCTAATTAGTGTCGATATATCTTTGGTCAATTCATTTTCTGTTTATATGATAACTGTTTTGGTTTAGGTTTTCTTTCTTCACTTTTTGCATAGTTTTGTTTATGCCGCATAGTATATTATGTACAAAGTCAAAGTTTAGTGTTTATACAAAAACTCATAGAACAGCATGAGATAAAAACAATTAAAGTATAGTTTGTCAGAAAACAATATCATAGTATAATATGTAAACAAATATCACACACAAAAACCAAAACAACTTTATACCAAAAATGAAAACACCTCTAAACTTCTCAGAAATCCCACCTGTGCAGGCGCATCAGAGGCAGAGATATTTTCCTGTGACAAAGACGCACAACGACTGAATGGTTGTTCCCTTCCCCTTCTTCTATATGATTAGGTAACATAAAGGAACAAGTATAGTTCAAACTACTTTGTCCTGTCAAATTCTGCATTATTTCATTCAACTCATTTTGGCAGGAGATCCAGTTGCTGATTTTGGGGTATAGTCAAATGTGGATTATGTCCTTCCTGCCTTTACTCCATCCACCCTCTGTCTCTTTGTCCATTTCTTTGTCCTCGCCTACTTACCTGTCTCGTTCATGTCCACACACCTGTTGAACAGGCAGGGACATTTAGTTGCTAATGAGGGAACAAAGCCAACACAGTTTCAATGTGAGTTTTTATTATTTATTTTATTTAAGAGCTCAGGACAGATGCAGACAACAAACATCCAGACAAACACTTGAGTTCAAAAATAATTAGAGCACTAATTACAATTAAAAATAAAAAGCATCCCTCCAAAACCTGTACCAATAGTAATAATTCAACACAGTCTGAATGCAATTTAGTGTTTAACTATCAAAAGGTTAAGGTCAATGTTTTGTCAAATTCAAATATATATATATTTTACACATATATAAATATATCAAAAATATAGTAATGACAATAAAATAAAATGTTGTATCACATACATTCTGACCAAAATTAAGTATTATCCAATTCAACATAATCTCCCTCCTCCACCTCAATGCCCGACGGGACCTGGTAAATCTGTAAGAAGCCGCTGTCACCCAAAAAGGGTTTGACTACTGCTTTGTTGTAGACTGATGTCAATATTTTAATAATGGCAGACATTGAACAATAGTTAACCAATTCAATCCAATTATTTTTAAAAGTTTCAATGATTCGTTTATGGACCTTTTTATGAAATGTGAGTGAGTCAATGTATTTCAAGCCATGCTCCAAATGCTGACTTTTCAGAAATCCTTTAGAATTCTCTCTCAACCTGCAAAGATGTTTGTTAGCAGACTCAAGGTATTCTTTTAGCTTTTTCTTTTCATCTTTTCCATCTTCAATTTCTTTGATAAAAGGGAATACATTTTTTTGTTTTAATTCTTTTGTGTCCACTATAAAGCGGATTTCCTGGTCAACATATGGATAAAGAGCACTGCTGCTACTTGAGATGTCAGAATACTTTAAATCTTTAAGGATATCTGGTCCACTTGGTCCCCAAGGCTCTGAGAAGTACACTACAGTCACAATGCCAAATTTCCTGTACCATTGATAGGCTTTCTGTACAAGTTGAGTCATACAGTCACAATATTTATTTCCTCTCTTTAAACATGGACTGTAATAGGTATATATAAAAATGTTTCGAACTTTGGCTCCATATTTCTGCAATAATTGATTAATTTCTTCAAATAGAATTTCCTCACTGTGTTTGGTAAATTCGGTGAAGGAGGCTGAATTGTTACGATGAACTGGATAAACAAGTTCAGACTTTATTTTTTTACCATTTCTAAATACAACTACAGCAATTGCACGTTGTCTATGGGGGTCCTTAGGACGGTGTTTTAGGAAATATGGCATAGGTCTACCGGTACACGCATCAATACTAAATCCAGGAATATTTGTTTGTTGCTCAATATTATCCATGTAATATGCTAGTGTAGAGGAAACCCTATTTACAATTCTGAAGTTAAAGAGGCTGTCATTTAGTATATGAATTTCAGCCAACACATTTAGTAATTCTAAATATATACTATATAGTTGAATTGAACTTTGACTGATATTTGCTGTTGTTGGTGTCATTGAATTAGAATCAATGGCACTGTGATGATCTTCCAGATGCTGGTTTTCTTCTCTAAAAATAAATATAAAGGTTTGACTTTATTCACAGGACAAAACAATATGCTTAAGATTGTTATTCAACTTTTAGCACAAAAATGCTGCATGTACTGAATTCATAAAGCATATTGTCAAAAGCAAACAGATTGTCAATGGCTGATTTAACTTTGTTAAGTGTTGGATTGAAGATCTCTTCTTGTTGTGAATAGAAACAAACCATACATTAATGGAGTTCAGTACAATTACACAGTTGCGTAAGTTTACTTTCACATGTTTATATTTTGTATTGAGATCTACAGAAGGTTTAGACAAAGATAAATAAAAACAAGCTGTTAAATATCAAGTTGTGGTGACATGTTAAGTCTCTTTCTGTAACTTGAATGCAGAGTGATCAATGTTAGAGAAAAATAAATATTAAAGTATGATTGACTCATTCGACCCACTGAAAGCTGTATTTTTACATTTACTTGTCTCAGTTCCATGGGACCCAATATCTAGTAACTACTACTTAACTAGTTTCAGTTAATACAGCATTTTATTTCTTAGACGATACCTTTGGGGTGAGGAGGGTTCTGGCTCGGTGGAAGTGGATGAAGATATCTCTTCACTCTCAGGCACTTGTGGATCTTGTTGTCTGCTTCTGTCCGACTGAGTGGAAAAAACAAAATGTTACCATCTTCTGATGTTACAGTCTTTATTGTCATTAGTGGAAAACACGTCTGTTAGGAACGGCTGAATGCTTTGCCTGTGGTATTGCTGCATGCACATTTGAGGTAGTGCTTCATTTTCTAAAGCTTCTTTTTCCATCCTGCATTTTAGTTTCAGTTAAACAAAGACCAACCTACAGTATGCAGGCGCAACAGTCTCACACAACACTGTGCTTTAGTTTGAGCCCTGTATGTCAACAAGTAAAGCTGAGCAAAACTGTTCAAATTGAAATTGTTCAGTAAAAGTTTTTTTTTTAAAGTTTTGTTTCTGGAATAAAATAAAATAAAAAGAGATGTGTCTTACTTGTCCAGTATATTAATACAATGCTGTTTTCATTTTTTTTAATCAATGGGTCACATGGCATTGAAAATGGAAACGGAAATGATCTTCTATTCAAATGTTTCTGTAAAGTTTGATAAGCAGTTACAGGAAAAGCATTTGATGGCAATGAAATGCTTAGATCTGTAGCTCTTCCCATCAGTGCTCAAACAAATATGTATAATAATAGATAACGTAAGTAAACATTTGAATTTAAGGCATAAAATAGTGCAGAGGCTTAAGTAAATTAAAATAAATGTGCTAAACAGATGAGAGGTGAGAGGGTCTAAACTCCTCTGGAGAAACAAAGAGACAGAACAGTTAGGTGGTAAAAATGTAAAAGTAATGGCTAGTAATGGCTTTTTGCGTTTGATTAGTTTTAGGCTTATCATAACAGAACTTTATAGGCCAGTTTTTCAAAGTTACACGGAGAATATACAAACAAAACACAATACATGTAGAGAAACAGAAAATGTATTGAAAATGTTCTGACTCACCAGATTTGGGTCTGAGACCCGCCCATGCAGGGGCTGGCAGTCGTCGTGTCCATCAGAAAAATGCAACTGGTCGATTGGATTTAAGTCAGTGTTTATTTTAATATCACCTTTTGCCAGCCCCTGCTTTGGAAATGTTTTTAATTTAATTTTAATTTTCACTTCTTATTTCTGAAGGGGTCTTGTAATAATTACTATCCATTTGTTTGTAAAGAAACTGTCTGAAGTGGCTGCTTATAAACCCTCCCTTAGCCAATCGTTGTGGCCAATCTTTGGTCGCCATGCCCAGTTTGCTTAGTATGCAGAGGTGTGGGAGCCTGATGTTTCTTATAGGTTTCACTTTCGTTTTTCTTCAAAAGGTGTGGACAATGAGACTTACCTGAATCCCAAGGGGCAAAGTCAAAGCAGACAATCGACATACATTTAGTTTATTTATTTATGTACCTGTATTTCTCTTTCAAAGCACTCACTTTGTATGTTAACTTCCTGCCAGTAACTGATACAACTTAAAAAAGAAAATTACAAACAAAAATCCCAATATTTCAGAAAATATAAGGACTGTTTTCAGAGCTGGAAGAAGTACTCAGATTGTGTTTTTAATTAAAAGTAGAAGAACCAGAGTGTAGGAATACTCTGTTACAAATAAAAGTCCTGCATTCAAAATGTTACTCAAGTAAAAGTACAAAAGTGTTAGCATCAAAATATACTTAAAGTACCAAAAGTAAAAGTACTTAATATGCAGATTGGACCATTTCAGAGTAATATATATGATATGATTTTATTATAATAACCCTTATCAATGCTGGTAAAGGTGTAGCTAGTTTTAATGACTTTGCGTGCTGCAGGAGAGCTGGATTTACTCCAGGTCTGATTTAAGATTTGATTATATTTATCCAAATCTATCAGGTAACTAAAGGTATTGAATGAATGTAGTGGAGTAACAGTACAAGATTTACCTCTGAATTGTACAAAGTAGCAACAAATGGAAATACTCAAGTACTTCACAATTGTACTTAAGTACAGTATTTGAGTAAATGTACCTAGGTACTTTCCACCACTGACTGTTTTCACAACCAAGTCCAAGTCAATTATATTCAAAATGTGTTACCCTAACAACCTTCCATTAATGTTATATTTATGAACGAGAACCAATAATGTAAAAGCATTTGAGTCTAAAGATGCAAATCAAAATAGACTATCTTCACGATCACTAATTATTTTCAAGCAAAGTGCAGGTACACTGTCCCTTTTCTTTTCTAACTTCAAAATCAAGCAGCTGACTAAATGAGGTTTGCTTCTTTAACTTAACAAATAAATCAGATGTTGCCACAACAACTGTGAGCCAATCATCTCTTTCCTGTTGTTGTGCTTGTCAATGTTGGATTTGATTAGATTTCATTATTGGGGGAATACATTAGTGACCAACTGCCACCTGGGGAATCTCACCCCAAATACCAATAGCCTTAATCAGCAAATAATATAAACAGGTTCAGTGAACCAGTTTTAACAGATACAGTGGGGCAAAAAGTATTTAGTCAGCCACCAATTGTGCAAGTTCTCCCACTTAAAAAGATGAGAGAGGCTTGTAATTTTCATCCTAGGTATACCTCAACTATGAGAGACAGAATGGGGGGGAAATAATCCAGAAAATCACATTGTCTGATTTTTAATGAATTTATTTGCAAATGATGGTGGAAAATAAGTATTTGGTCAATAACAAAAGTTCATCTCAATACTTTGTTATATACCCTTTGTTGGCAATGACAGAGGTCACACGTTTTCTGTAAGTCTTCACAAGGTTTTCACACTGTTGCTGGTATTTTGGCCCATTCCTCCATGCAGATCTCCTCTAGAGCAGTGATGTTTTGGGGCTGTCGCTGGGCAACACGGACTTGCAACTCCCTCCAAAGATTTTCTATGGGGTTGAGATCTGGAGACTGGCTAGGCCACTCCAGGACCTTGAAATGCTTCTTACGAAGCCACTCCTTTGTTGCCCGGGCGGTGTGTTTGGGATCATTGTCATGCTGAAAGACCCAGCCACGTTTCATCTTCAATGCCCTTGCTGATGGAAGGAGGTTGTCACTCAAAATCTCACGATACATGGCCCCATTCATTCTTTCCTTTACACGGATCAGTCGTCCTGGTCCCTTTGCAGAAAAACAGCCCCAAAGCATGATGTTTCCACCCCCATGTTTCACAGTAGGTATGGTGTTCTTTGGATGCAACTCAGCATTCTTTCTCCTCCAAACACGGCTAGTTCTATTTTGGTTTCATCTGACCATATGACATTCTCCCAATCCTCTTCTGGATCATCTAAATGCTCTCGAGCAAACTTCAGACGGGCCTGGACATGTACTGGCTTAAGCAGGGGGACACGTCTGGCACTGCAGGATTTGAGTCCCTGGCGGCGTAGTGTGTTACTGATGGTAGCCTTTGTTACTTTGGTCCCAGCTCTCTGCAGGTCATTGACGGTCCCCCCGTGTGGTTCTGGGATTTTTGCTCACCGTTCTTGTGATCATTTTGACCCCACGGGGTGAGATCTTGCGTGGAGCCCCAGATCGAGGGAGATTATCAGTGGTCTTGTATGTCTTCCATTTTCTAATAATTGCTCCCACAGTTGATTTCTTCACACCAAGCTGCTTACCTATTGCAGATTCAGTCTTCCCAGCCTGGTGCAGGTCTACAATTGTGTTTCTGGTGTCCTTTGACAGCTCTTTGGTCTTGGCCATAGTGGAGTTTGGAGTGTGACTGTTTGAGGTTGTGGACAGGTGTCTTTTATACTGATAACGAGTTCAAACAGGTACCATTAATACAGTTAACAAGTGGAGGACAGAGGAGGCTCTTAAAGAAGAAGTTACAGGTCTGTGAGAGCCAGAAATCTTGTTTGTTTGTAGGTGACCAAATACTTATTTTACCGAGGAATTTACCAATTAATTCATTAAAAATCCTACAATGTGATTTCCTGAATTATTTCCCCCAATTCTGTCTCTCACAGTTGAAGTGTACCTAGGATGAAAATTACAGGCCTCTCTCATCTTTTTAAGTGGGAGAACTTGCACAATTGGTGGCTGACTAAATACTTTTTTGCCCCACTGTACATCATAATAAACTGTGTGTGTATAGATTGAGCTTGTTAATGCAAAGGAAGTGGTAAGGACTGCTAGAAGGAAACTTTGGGAAAAATCCCCAAATGATGTAAAAAGAAATATACTATAAATATCAAATACCCACAGTTAGGCGGCTTTTTAATATTATTTTACAGCCCATGATTGTTGAACAGCCTAAAAAAGACCAGAGGACCTGCTCTTAATTGATATGTTTACACTAAATCCAAGACCAAACTGGTTTTCACCTTGGCCAGTATGTTTTTTTAAGTAAATTCGAACCGCACCCATTGCATCATACTTTTGAGGAAACAAAGTGAGAGGAGTATTAAACGTCACACTCTGAATTCACTTGGCTGTTTCATTTAGTTTTTTAACCAGCGTGATCTGCATGTAGGGAGGGGCGGGCGTGTCTGCATGTCCTTATCTTTCAAACCTTATGTTCTTACTTTGCAATGCAGGTCTTTTGATAAAAGTGTATATTCTCAAGTGGAAAGGGGTTACATTACACTTTGTCCTACAAATGTTTGCTCTGTTTCCCATTCACTTCAGTCAGGGTTATTTTCAGACCAGACAAGACTCTGTGTGATTTCTAAAACCCTTTGTCTCACCCAACTCAGGTTGAACCGTTTGAGCTGCTATCCATTTTA